GAGCAGGTTAATCATCAGGTGACAGCTAACTGTAAACCGACGCCTTGTGCGTTAGGTCGGGCAAAGCTTGGAGCATTTGATACAGATCGGCTCTTCCTCCGGGGATAGCTCGCTGTAGGCACCGTCTGATTAGCTGCGGCTTACTTTACTATGCCGCACGTACGTACAGAGTACTACGTAAACAGATAGTAATATACTGTCATAGATCCCGCGAGATTTTTACGGGCTTTTAAATTTGGGGGACAGGGGGGGCGAGGGTCAATAATTTATACTGCCGGTGCAAGATCATGGACCATGTGCAAAGGCCCTCCTGGTGGCATCTTTCAGGTAATAAAACTAGTTTACATTTGAAATTCAGAATCAGAGAAGGGGGCAAGAGAGGTGCATTGTAGCCTCGACGAGGAGATTGGTAGACAAGTTGACAATGGCTACCATCGAGGTTCGAGGAGAGCGTGCTTGTCTAGCCTTGGTTCTCTTTTCTTTTTTTTACTTTTGTATGTATAGGGTTCGTGGCGGCGCTCAGCTTGAGCTCATGCCCATCACACTACGCCGCACTTGGGGATCGGTGTAATTTAATACAGAGGTGTTGTCTTATAGGCCACTGAGCAAATTTTCAGCCCAAAACGAATCGACGAGCCGATACGTGTATTTTTTAAAACAAAAACGATAATCCACCAGGGCCTTATCGTTTCTCCCGTACTAGATTATCCTCCACCGGTAGGCCCCAACAATGGCGGGGGACGAAATAAAATTACGGTGAACTGAGTTTCTTTTACCTTCTTGTCCCCTGACCCCGCATCGTCTGAGCCGGGCGACACAGGGAAACCCCTAGCCGCCGCCAGCCAGACCCTCTTCTTCCGCCCACCCGGAGGGAATTGCATAATCCACCATTTATTGGGGCTAGTGTTGCACAGAACACCTACTATACGGATTTGTTGCAGAAAACACCACATATTGGTGTAATACATTGCAACTAGATCTAATCTAATGTTTGAATACATTGACATAATTTTATACAGATGGGTCCTACTTGTAAGTGCATATGTGGCAATAAAAACCGGTCACATCAGCCAACATATTAGATCGTCATTATCTCCCAAACTTGTGGCTCAATTGAGGCGAAACTTTCTCAAATTAGTATTGAATACATGTAGTATTTACTGGAATTGTTTCTCATTTTTTTGGAAAATGTCAAAAATTGAACCAAAAAATTGTACGGGCTAACCAAAACTTTCATTATCTTCAACCCATTGATCCAAATGGGGTAAAACTTTCCCAGAATGGTACTGTAGACATGTGAAATTCACTGGAATTTTTCATATTTTCTGAAATTGTTAAAATTTGAACCAAAATTTAAATGAAACAAGTTTGGCATGTGATCACTAGCACCAAAAACATGGTAGATATTGTTGCCATTAGATTTTAGCATCCAAGTATTTGCTATATGGCCACTACAGCAAACTAGTTGTCATGTGGCCAATACAACCATCACAAAATAATATGACTAGTCTTGCATACTTGGTCTGGAGGAGGCGCTCCCCTGACAATATTGTTGCCTACCAGACAGCGTTCCCCTGGGCACAGCCGCCAAAGTTCTTTGACTTTACCTGCTCCAACGATGAGGATGACACTTACGGCTGTGGGCGAGAACTGCTGTGAGGCTTTTTGTTTTTATTATGTTTTATTATATTTAGTTATGTTTGAAGGGGACTTTGGCCAGCGGGTTTAATGTTTAATCATGTATTATTAATACTCATGTTTTAAATTTAAATATTTTTTGTGCCTATTTAGTTTTTCTAAGACCACGCGGACAAATGCGTCGGCCACGGTGGGTGCACCAGCCGATCCAAAAAACCCGGACATGCATGTCTGCTCGGCCGACCCAAACGGATAAAAGTCATATTCCTTTGCATCAGCCGGTTAGAATTGACTTACAAGCGGGATCCATTTATCTGAAATTATGTTAATATAGCTAAACACTAGATTAGACCTATCTGCAATGTATTACATCAATATGTGGTGCTTTCTGCAACAAACCTGTATAGTAGGTGTTTTGTGCAACACTAGACTCAATAAGTGGTGGTTCGTGCAATTCCCTCCCCACCCGCGCATCGTAGCCGTAGGAGGACCAGTTGCCGAAGCCGCGCCAGGCACTGGGATGGTGACGGCGGGGCCTTTTTTTTTCTCCTTCACCCCTCCGCACGTCTCTTTTTGAGATCCGATCCTTGACGCCGCCGCCGGCCTCCACTAGTGGCGGGAGCGGCCTCCCCCGGCATCTCTTCTCCGATGCGCTAAACAGCGCGGGTGGCCTCTCCGGCGGCTGCTGCCTGCGATGTGATTTTGGGCTCACCTCTGACGCTGTGGTGCTCTTCGGTCGGCCTACTGTGGCTCGGCCTACTGTGGCAGCCGGACGCACCCTCCACGTTGCGGCTTCACCGACCCCCCCTCCCCGACCCCCACCCATCCTCCTCGAGCTTCAGGTTCGCCTCCTCAGGAGACGCCCGTGGAGTCGTCTGGTTGTGCCTCGCAGCGACTGCTTCTTGCGGCGCGCCGACCGGAAGTTGGCTGAGCGCGAGTGTCCTTCACCACCACCACCCCACACCCCGTAGGGGCGGCTTGGGCCCGACGGCCATGGACCTGCGCCCCCTCCCGCGTCCATCGCCGGGAGCTGCGCTTTTTTCTGGCTAATTTGACTCTAAAAGCTCCTCGTCATCTCCATACCACCACCACCCTGTTGGTGCCTTTGGTTAGCCATCCATCCCGACACACCTTTGATTCCGGCACGCTCCGGGAGCTGCCTTCCATTCTAGCTCCTTGGGCCGCGGGCATCCCCGCTGCTCCGATCGTGGTGGCCTTGATCTGCGCTGCCTTTCATATCCTGGCTCGTGCGGGGCTCTGGCCACAATACATCCCCGTTGCCTCTCATTCTGCTCAACCATCCATCCCACTCCTCCGGAGCTCGTTCGTTTGGCGGCGGCCGATGCCTCCTTCGGCGTCGGGCCTGGCTTCCCTCCTGCAGTCGCAGTTCCGGCCTATGCACGACTTCCTCTTCTCCAATTCATGCTCTAACGGCTTGGGATTGCTCGGAATTTGGCAGGGCATAATCCATGCATCCTATGATGACAGCGTCGACACCCGTGTGTGTCGTTCCCTTCTTGAAGGCGCTGTCATGGCCGTTATCTGTGTCCCTCTTCGAGCATCAGCGGAAACCCTAGGCCCGGTTCCCGGATCGGATGACGACAGCGTCTGGGCGTTGCTCTCCTCTATGAAGGTGTTGTCTTGTTTTATACGCAGCGTCCTCGATATCGGATTTGGAGATGTTAGTCGTTTAGCTGTTGGTTGGGCTGCTCTTCGGTTGGCGAGTTTAGCTGCCATTTTCTTTGTTTGGGTCAAGCATCTCACATCTCTCTTCTTCAGGCACCGTGCTCACATCTCTTGCGTCCGTCATATGTTGTATCACCTCCTGTACTCACTCTAATTTCTTTTATCAATGAAATGATACGGAAGCTTTCCCTATTCGGGAAAAAAAGTCTCTAGCATAACCATATTTTTTATTATAGAAAATCAAAATAATCAATACGCACTAAGAATGCATACTAATATCCTTAAGCGATTCTAACCAGAATAACCAACCTAAACCATATGATAATGGATCTTTGGTGCAGCCTAGAAGACCCTGGCAATCTTAATTTGAGGGAGATTTTTATGCCTTTTTTTTAATTTAGGGAGACAATTGTGGCGAGAGTCAATAATTTATCCTGGCAATGCAAGATCATGGACCATGTGGAGAAGCCCTCCTGGTGGCATCTTTCAGACTGAAAACCGATTAAAAATTTCTTCCGCAAAAGAAAACTAGTTAAAACCTTGATTTCAGAATAGAAAACGATTTTAGTTCAGACAAGAAGAATAATGTATCAGTAGGTGCATTGTACTACTAGCAACTAGGGCAGCTATGCGTTTGAGCCTCGGCGAGGACATTGGCACGCAAGTTGACCATCGTTACCATCGAGCCATCGAGGGCAGTATATGCCGATGCATTTCCTTTTTTTTATAAGCACCCGCGGCGGCGCTCGGCTTGCTCGTGCCGATCTCATTACCGTTTCTCCCATGCTCGACCATCTCGCCAGGTCAACATGGACACACGCAAAACTAGCCTAGGGCACGGCGGTTATGTTATTGCAGTCGATTGTTTCCACCGCCAGCCCGTCAGAAACTAAACTGGAAGGGAGTTTGACATTCGTCGCCAGGCCAACTCGTTTCCCCGGCGCACTCCTCGAGAGAGACACTTGGGATGGTTTCAATCGTTCTTGAATTTTTCGCTAGAGTGGCGTGCACCCTGGGAGGCAGGGCGGCCCCCTGGGTGGCGTCCGGCGTCCGCGGGGCACGCATTGCCCAGGCCACGCATTGAAGCACGCCGTGAGCTGCCTGCACTGTGCTGCACGCACGTTAACTGATCCGGCACGGACGTCGCCATGACGCGCCTGCGGTGCACGGACGGCTCGCACTGTGGGCTTCATCACGGCCCGATTAATTTTCACCGGCGCAGCGTACGTGACTGACTGCCACCTCCGTGCGCCGGGTGGTTTATTGCTCCACTGCCGCCGCAGCGGCGCTCCACGGCACGGGCACGGGCACGAAGCAGTTGTTTAACTGCGCAGTGACTTTCACCGTGCAGGCTCGATCGGTAATTCCTGGGCGGGGCGGGGGCGCGTCACCAGACAAAGATCGCAGAGCGCATATGCGGGCCTGCGGCACGCGAGGCGAGACGTGGAAATCAGCTCCCCACTTGATGTGATTGATGATAAATACGCGTGTCAAGTCGCTTCGTACGCCTCCCTTTCTCGTTCCGCCCCCATCCCCATTCCCATCTCCTCGCTTCGCAAGCTGCGCCGAGTCCCTCCCACCCATGCTGTCCTGCACCTACTAGCTGACCTCGCTCGTGCTCCCCGTCCGAGCCCAGGCCGCGTTCGTGGGGGGCTGGATTGCTCGGCGAGCGGGCGATGGACGTCGTCGTCGGGCTGCCGTCGTCTCCGCCCGAGTCCGGGCGCTCCTCGCCGTCTCCGACCGCGTCGCCCGAGTTCGAGTTCTGGATGGTGGGCAAGAACCCGGGGACATTCCCCTCCCCCGCCCTGCTCACCGCCGACGAGCTCTTCTCCGACGGCATTGTGCTCCCTCTCCACACCCTCCAGGCCCCTCCTCCTTGCCCCGACGCCGGCCAAGACGACGGCGAGGAAGACGCTGAGGAAGATGCCGACCCCAACGTCGACGTCAACGACTCCTCGGAGCCGCCGGAGGAGGAAGGGGAGCCTGCCGCGCAGCCGCTTGCGGAGGCCTGCGCCGTCCCGACGCTGGACCTCCCCGCGGTCACTTTCAAGTGGAAGGACATCTTCAAGGCCACCGGCGAGTCCAAGGAGCGCGCCAAGAAGGCGGAGCGCCGCGTCAGCAGCGTCAGCGGCAACGCCGAGCTCATCAACATCAACATATGGCCCTTCTCCCGGAGCCGCTCCGCTGGCCACTCTACCTCCGGCGCCGGAGCCGGCGCTAGCAGCAAGGCCAAGGCGAGCACTCCCAGCACCGGCAACGCCAGTGCCGCTGCTGCCAGCGCACCGGTGGCGGCTACCGCGACGGCGGCGGGGCGCAAGGTGAGCAGCGCGCCGTGCTCCCGGAGCAACTCCCGCGGCGAGGCCTCCGGGTCGGGGGTGCCGGCCGTCGCCATCGCGGCGGCAGCGGAAAAGGCCGCTGCGCAAGCGCCCGCCACGTCCATGCTGAGGCGGTGGGTTCCCGGCGGTCAGGGCAGAGCAGGCCTGAGCGCGAACGGCATCCGCCTGGGAAGAGCCAGCCCAGTCTGGCAGCTGAGGCGCAACAAGCTACAGCAGCAGCAGCAAGCCGCCGCGGAGCAGAAGCAGAGCAGCAACGCCACCGCCAGCGGCAAGAACAAGGCCGTCCCGGAATACGACGCGGCGACGAGCCAAGTCCAAGCGGACGCCGGCGAAGCAGCAGACAAGGCGACGGCGTCCGCTGCTGCAGACGCAGCGCCGGCGACCGTGAGCGCGCCAGCCGCCGCGTGCCGGAACAACGCGGCCTGCGCGGAGGTGGCCGGCGAGGAGTGCGTGCCGCCGCAGGGGCTGTTCGGCCTCGGCACCTTCTTCTCCAAGAAGGTGTACTGATCCCGACGAGCCACACCGCGCCACTCGCTGAATGTACATAGGACTCGAGCCGGTACAGGCTCGTCTCTCTCGTCGATCCCTTGCACGACCCCCTCCTCCGCCACCCGTTCGTTCGCTAGCTTAAGCATTCTTTTTCTCCTGCTTATCTCTGCACTGTACCACGCATCGCCATGAATGATAGCTCAGCTCAAGCTGCCGTCCCCTCCATCATGAACCGTCCAACTCAATGTCCATGTACCACTAGCCAGTAGTAAAACCGTAACACGCAAAAAAAACACATCGATGTGGCGTGTAACACAGACTCCCGGGTCCCTTGCACGGCGAGACATTGGTTTATGGGGGTTGGTTGAGTGGGAGATGCCAAATGATTTGGGGGCAAAAGGCTGGAAAAGTCAGGGAGGCCTCTGCGGCGCCTGTCCCGCCGGCCATGCACGCACCGGAGCCGGATCGACGATGGATGGATGGATGGATGGATCGGGGCGGATGGGCATGCACTGCTCTGGGCTGCATGCCGCCACGGGCTACGCAACAAGGCGTACGCCGTTGGACGCCTCTGCACATGCGCCTGCTGGCTTGCTAAATCTGCTGGGATCTTGTGTGGTAGCGGCCTGTATTATCGATGGCGATGCATCACACCACACCCCAGTCGACGGTTCAGGACTCCTCCATCAGCCCCGTGCCCACGCTGTGCTTGTTCTAGGCCGCGCATGACTCGTGGCCATGGCCATGCATGCAGACATGCGCTGCTGTCTGCACCATGATAGCAAGAAACAATTTGCTCATGGGACCAATCTCGATAGATGGATGGATGGACAGAACCAGCAAAACGGTGGTAAAACTGGTCTGCTAGCGTGGTGCCGAGCGGTGTAAAATTAAGTAGCCTGTGCAGATGGCGGCGTTAAAGAAAGAGCCGATCTCTCCTCCTTAACTGTACAGCTACCGAAGCTAGCTAGTGGTGGCGAGCCGGTACTGCGGTGAGGTTCATTGCTCCTGCGAGGGAAGTAGCCTCTTGCAGAAGGCAGAGGGACTAGCAAGTGGCGGCGGTGGTGGTGCTGGCGTAGTACTACTACTCCTCCAGATCAACCTTGCTTCGAGTTAAAGATCGGTGATGGTTGAGCCTTGAGAGAGGTTAAAGCGCGCAGCATCTGGTGCTGCTGGTGTGGTGCTAATCGTAATCTAATCTCTCGACTCAGAGTGAGACAGGCAGGCAGTGCTGATTAGTTGGTTGAGAAGAAAAGAAAAACGGCGAGGCAGTGGTACGGCTGCGTCGGCCTGCCTGCCGGCAAGTGGGCCGGCAGCGGCTGACCCCGGCTGCCCGGATGGCGAGTTAACTTACTGCTTGATTGGCTCCACGCAGAGAAGTCCAGTGAGCCAGTCCGGCCTTCGAGGTGCAACGCAACGCAACGTTGGTTCGTGCCTGCCTCTGCACTGGCCGGGCGCATCTGGCGATCTTTTCCTTTGTGCTGCGGCTTTGCCTGATTTTTCCATGGGGGGAGGGTACGGCCGGGGCCGGGGGCGGAGGAATCAAATCGGCTTTGACGTATCATACGGCCTGCGATCTGGGGAGGGGCGCCCATCCCGAGCGGAGCCGGCCGGCCGGCCCGCCCGCCCCGACACGGCGAGTGGAGCGGCACCCGCCGGGTGCCGCATTGATCGGCTGGTGGACGGGCGGGGTGGTGGCGGTGCCGTGGACGTGGGGGCGGGTGGCCGCGCGCGGCAGCGCAGAGCGGGGGGCACATGCCGTTGTCGAGGTCGGGCTTTGGCTGGGGGGAATGGGATCGATGGGGCCGTGGTGATTCTGTGTGTTCTCATCGGACGGTTGTGTTTTGTGGCGCCCACGGATTGGACGCCCTGGATCCTCGTCGGGCAGAGTTGGAAAACAAACGGCCAGTTTGGTCGATGGATCATGGACGAAGAAGGTAGACTGGCTAATTGCGTCCCAGGATGAAAACTTATGGCAGGCACGAAAACGATATTTTAAAGTTTCGGAAAAATCTAAAAAAAAAATATAGGATGTTAAGAGGATGATGTTTTTTTTGCGGGTAAATAACTTGTACTCCCTCCGTTTCTTTTTAGTCTGTATATAAGGTTTGATCAAAGTGAAGCTTTGTAGAGTTTGACTAACTTTATATTAAAAAAATATAAACATTCACAATATGAAATCAATATTATCAGATGCACCATGAAACATATGTTCCTACTATATAGTTTTAGTATTGTAGATGTTTATATTTTTTTTATATAAATTTGGTCAAACTTTGTGCAGTTTGACTTTGACCAAATCTTATATGCGGAGTAAAAAAGAAACGAAGGGAGTATTACTCGACTCATAGAATTACAATCATCAGCAGCTAGCTGGACAGTTTTCCCAGGACCAGAACCCAACCAAGTCATGGTTCTACCTTTGGTACGAGCAAAACTAGGCAGACTGTCACTAATCCTATTTTGGGATCGAGATATATGAGTAATACATGATTCACGAAGACTCAAAAGATATCTAATTTCAGTAACTATGGAAGAATACACCGATCTATCAACTTCTTTAGACTGAACAAGCTTAACTGCCACAATGGAATCCATCTCTATGGATATCGGACAATTGCTTCTCTGCAAGGAAAAGGAGAGACCCTCCATGCATGCACACAACTCCGCTTCAAGAGCATCTCTGCACGAAAACATTACTCAACAGGCTGAGAAAATGATAATACCATTGATGCCCCTGAGCACCATACCTGCACCGGCAGATCGCTCGTCCGAGAATGAGCCATCACTGTTTAGTGTAACCCAACCCGAGCTAGGAGGCTGCCAAGTTTCAGGGGGGCGCAACAGCACCTTATCACATGTGATAATCTGTTTTCCTTTCTCCGGGTCAGAAGCTAAGTCCACCTTCAGGCACAAGATCGAATTCAAATAGGACACAAGAAAACGCTTCGAAGCTTCCATGGTCGGCATTGGTTTATGATGAACAACCTCATTGCGGATATGCCAAGAACGCCACAACGTAAAGAGAACCATGGAACGCTCCACGTCTGGAAGTGGCTCAAGAACGTTTAGCAACCACTCGCGCCCATTGTTCTGGATTAAAGAGAGGGTCGGCAGCCGCCATACTTCTGACATAGTATCCCATAATAAGCGTGACTGAGGATGTTAAGAGGATGATGTTCTATTGCCATGCAAAATTTAAAGTTTAAACATATTACAAGATGTGACCTATAAAAAGACAAAATCAACATTGAATAGTGCCGAATATTAACATCACTACTCGTTCTGAATTTGTCCTTTTCATTTCTCACATTCCGTAATGTGTTTTTACTTAAAATTTCACATACAATAGAACATCATCCTCTTAACATCCCATAATTTTTTTTCTTCTTTTTTGAAACTTCCAAATTTGGTTTCCATGAAGTTTCTTTTGAATTTTTGTTTCCGTATGATATTCTCCCCTTGACTACATTTGTTGTTTCTTGATCCGCACGAAACTTAAAATACTTCGAGGTTGGATATGATGTCGAGATCGCCACCGAGCATGAACCAATGCTGGATAAACCCGTTGTACGATAGGTCCGGATATGATGTCGAGATCGACACCACGCATGAACCAATGCCCTCTTCTCCGTCTATCCAGCCAAGCCGTACCACCAACGAATATCTTCGCACCAGACCCCGCTGGGCACCGTCAACTTCACCAAAGTCGTCCTCGCACACCGCCTGATGACAGCCGCCACTGGAGAACACATCTCCTTCGTCGTCCCACAACAACCCTTCATCACTTCCACAAACAGGCCACCCGATCCGGACCTCTCCGCCACAATCGGTGCCGCGTGGGCTTTGCCCGACGACGCACCCTGACGCGCCCCAACGTAAACGAGAGGGGCAGATGACGGATGGCAACTGAGGTTCGTTGATGGCCTGCCTCGTCGCTTCACAAAGTTGTTGTGAGCCTCTTACCTTTCAAGGGGTAATAGTAATGCTAAACATTGGATTGCATAAAATGAGCGGCTCACATTAGTTGGGGCCATCTTAAACTTTCTATAAGAAAAAAGAACGAAAAAGTCAGTTCATGTAGGATTCTTTCTTTCCTTTGCAAAGATATTCATATATATCACAGAAGTTTCAGAAGTACAAACCATCTCAAACATAATGATAAATACATCGATGTCTCTAGTCTACCGAATGACCACTACCGCCGCCAGAATGAGCCACCGACGCACCGCCGTCGTCGCTCCCCTATCGGACTTGGCTTGACCTTGAGGATGACGGGCGAGAACTCTTTGTGCACGTGCCCCTAAGGACCAGCACTCTGTAGTCGCGGTCGTCAGTTCGTCACAATTGAGCCCTTGAATTGAATAGACCTGACACAACTAACAACAATTCTCACAATCACGCACACATGGCAAGAAACCCTAATCTGACCGTCCGAAAAAGACGGCGGAAATCTACGACGAAGCTCCATCAACTATCTTCAAATGGACAAAGTTGAAGAGGGCCGAAACCCAGGAGACAAACTCAAAGAATAAGCATCATCATCTGCATGGGTGCCACACCCGCGAGCGCTAAGAATCTCAACATAAACTACTACCTGAAGCGAAGGGACCGGGATTTCCCCCCCACTATCGGCCACTGGAGGGGCAGGCGGAAGAAAGACGAATCCACGGCTGGCGGCAATGCCTAAAGGGAGAGCCGAGGGGAAGGAGAGAAAACTGAGCTTGTGTCACACACATGTCGTCATATAAAATTGTTGGATCGAGTAGGATTCTTTGCATCCATAAACGTGGCGTGATTGTCTATAAATTGGTGTTGTGCTGCATAGGGCATAGCTCGTCTCTCTGCATAAATACTGGTGGTGTAGTTGAGCTGGCAGCATGGCACAGACTTTGTCCGAGCCTACCCGCTCATGCAACGAGCGGTGACGTCGTCACACGCATCGCACGCACGGCGGCAAACGTGTGCCACCACGCCCACGATCATGTCGCCCCGATCCCAGTAAGGCTGGTCACAAT